GGGATTTTGATGGGGATTGTGTTGAATCTGTAGTTTGCTTTTGGTAAGATCGCCATTTTCACTCTGTTAATCCTACTGATCTATGAGCTTGAGTGATCTTTCCATCTCGTGATATATTCTTCCATTTCTTTCTTCAAAGGTCTGTAATTTTTAATCGTACAAGTCTTTCACTTGCTTCTTTAGAGTTCTTCTAACATATTTTATATTATGAGTGGCAACTAGGAAGGGTGTTGTTTCCCTGATCTCTTTTCTCATGCCACTTGCCTTTTCATATAAGAGGAATATAGGAGGGTGATTGATACTGCCTGATATAATCTAGGATTCAGCCACTATCCTGAAAGTGCTTATGAGCTATAAAAGTTTTCTTTTGGAACTTTTCAGTTCATTTATATACACTATTATATCGTCAGCCAGATTGTATACTTTGAATTTTTCATTTCCAAATTGTATCCTCTTTACCTCCTTCGGTTGACATGTTTCTCTAGCTAAAACTTCAAGTTCTGTATTGAGTAGATATGGAGAGAGTAGACAGCCTTGTTTTGTTTCTAGTTCCAGTGGAATTTCTTTTAGTTTCTGCTCATTATATTTGATGTTGACTATAGAATTTCTGTAAACTTCCTGTGTTATGTTTAGATATATCCCTTCTATCCCCATGATCCTCAAGCCTTTTTTCATGAAGTGGTTTTGTATTTTGTTGAAGACTTGTTTGGTGTCTCATGAGATGATGCTGTGGTTTATTTCTGAGAGTTTGTTTATATGGTGGATTACATTTCCTGATTTCCCTGTGTTGAGCCATCACTACATCTCTGGATGAAGCCTAGTTGATCAGTATGCATGGTCATGGTATTTTTGATGTGTTTTTGAAGGTAGTTTGCAAGTATTTCATCAAATATGTTTGCATATTTGTTCATGAAGGATATTTGTCTTTCTTTTTTGAAACTGTAGGTACTTAAACGTAAATGTGACTGTGGCCTCATGAAAGAAATTGAGTAACATTCCTTCTGTTTCTCTTTTGTAGACTACTGTGTTAAGCATTGGCCTTAAGTCTCCTTTCAAAATCTTGTTGAGTTCTGCCAACTTAGCTATCCAGCTGTGTCATGTTTAGTTCAAATTCTGTAATGACAGCTTTTATTTCACTAGAGTTATTTGTCTAATTAAATTATCTATATTATATTGATTTAATATTGTATATTGAAACTGATTGAAACAATTATGTATTTATTTCATACTTCAATTTCTTTCTTTTTCTATTCAGATTTGGTGGAGTACAGAATTTTAAAATATGTCTGGTGATTGGGATTTCCCCATTGCCTTTTGTTATGTGTTCCTTCCCATTTCTGAGTTATTTTAGATAATCTTTCCCTCCATTAAGGGCTTATTTATTTTGTTGATTTTTCTGCAAAGAATATCTCTCTCCCTCTCCCTCCCTCTCTCTCTCTCTCTCTCTCTCTCTCTCTCTCTCTCTCTCTCTCTCT